GCGTCCGGTCCAGCGTCCGGTCACTGTAAACAATGCCTTCTCAGCTCCAACTTCGCCACCCTTGCTCAAATGTGCTAACCACCAAGTGTATCACCTTATGCACGTGTGTTAGCATATTTTCACAAACATTTCCAAGGGAACTAGCACTCACTAGAATCTAAATGCATATGCAATGAGTTAGAACATCTAATGGCACTTTGATAATCGCATTTCGATACGAGTTTCACCCCTCTTAATAGTACGGCTATCTATCCTAAATGTGATCACACTCGCTAAGTGTCTCGATCACCAAAAACAAAAGCTCCTATGGATATCAACTTTGCCTTGAGCTTTTTGTTTTTCTCTTTCTTCTTTTCTAAGTCCGAGCACTTCATCACCATGGCCATCATCATCATCATGGTCTTCACCATTTGCTCCACCACTTGGAATGTGCTATCCTATCTCATGATCACTTAGAGCAATAGGTTAGCACTTAGGGTTTCATCAATTCACCAAAATCAAACTAGAACTTTCAATATTTTTTTCTTTTTAAATGCAAATAATATGGATATATGTAGGTAACCAAATATGTTGTTGATTTGAAATGAGAACACTTAAACTAAGTGGAAGCGTATGCATGAATTATTCAAAGTAAACATGCAATGGAATACCAAAAATTAAAAGATAACTACTCATTAAGTTTAAAGTTCATGAGCAAGACTATCTCACCTTTCTAAATCATACTTTACCATGACTCACAAGACGGAATTTGTGAGTAGTGCAGCGTTTGTATGCGTCGCTTGAGATGTGATTTGAATTCTTATGATGATGACCTTTTCTCCAATCTACACATGGTTAGAATAGTATATATGTTTATACAAACCTGTGAGATGGCAGGGTTCCGGTGTTGACGGATCTTTATTGTCCAGGTACCCTGGGTTCTTTAGTGTCTTTCTTATTTTCTTGTGGAAGCTTGCCAGAAGGTCAAAACAGCATCTGTTGTCCTGTCTATTTCATAATATAACAGAACAAGGGTAATCCTACTAAAGCTAGCGGTATGTTACTAATCTAAATCTTTACGACAATTGTTTCCCCGGTAACGGCACAAGAAATGCTTGTTGACGTTTGGGAGTGCAAATATAATATTAAGGATTCCGCAAGCGCATAGAACATCAATGTAGCATTTCATCGGGAGTATTCTAGGTATCGTTATTTATATTTTACCACAGGGAAACAATGGAATAAAGATTTATTAAGTAATAAAGGAATAACTATCAATCAACATACCAGCATAGATAGAGCAGGGGTGAATGTAATGATAGGAATTAGGCATAATGACACTCAGGGGATAGACCGTTAATGATAGATGTAATAACTTGAGTGAATAGTGAGTGAGGTAGATTCCTATGATATTCTTACTACAAGTATATGTACTTAGTTATAGCAAAAGATTAACTCCATGTTCATGCATAAGGGAGATTACTAAGGAAAAGCACAAACAGAGTGCTATTTCGTGTAATCGGGTCCTGCTTGGCCTACAGACGGGAGGTGGACTACAAAAGACTCAACAAGGTTATAGTCACCCTCGCGATCTACCATTGGTCCAGAATACAGGGTGCATCCGCAAGCAAACCATTGTATAAGCACCACGCTTACACAGTTGGCCACTCAATCCTAATTAATCAAGGCTAGGTTGAGCGCTATACGAACCTATGCATGAATATAAAGATAACTTCAACTACTTCTAAGCATTTAAACATCATAAGCATAACCTTGTAAATAAGAATATAACATGAAGCATTGACGTCTCAATAAATATGAAACTATTCATACAATGGCTTACCAAGCCTCCGAGACTAGATCCGGAATCTAGACATGAGTCCACTCGATCCTAACTCTCAAGATACTAATCTACTACATTGGAGAGTCTAGACCTAATCCTCCTAGTGTATTTTGATATTGATCTCTGATGGATTTCTCTAGAGATTGTACATTGGAGAGATGCCCTCTAGGAGGAGGTATGGGGGGCCTTATATAGGGGGTACCAGGAGTCCTGTGGGCACATGAATCCATGGCAACTTCAAATCTCAGCCCTCGATAAGAACTGACCTTGAGCAACGGTGTAGATTTGATCTATAAGGCCATGGGTAACTAACATACGAAGGAGGGGCAGACCTATGGGACCCATAGGTCGGCCGGCCTGCAGGTGGGGCTGGCCGGCCCACCCTGCAGCCTCTCGGGTCGGGTCACGGTGTATTATCTTCTGGGTGCTTCTAGATCCTTCCTAAGTTGGTTTCGTCGTGGATAAACGTGATTTGATCTGAAGATTGGGTCCACCTTGCTCGTTATCTGGATAGATCCTCCTGCAAACACAGATTCACCAAAACTTGTAAAATTTATTAGTTTAAACCCCTAGACCTATGTTGGTGATCCTTTTTACAAGTTATATTGACGGTTAATGATGAGTGTTAACTACCGTCAACAACGCTCTTGTTTATCATAAGCCTTGTTGGTACTCCTAGTTAAGTTAGATTTAGTATCTCACACACGTTTCCTTGAGTTCGATATTATGGAATATTTTTCGGTGAAGTGCTACGTCGGTATTCATGCGCTTACAGATTAATCTATGTGCGTCTAAAATATACCAACACCTATGTACATACTACTACTAGATTTTCGGTCCGGCAAGGAGGTCACATGTGGTCGTCGATCCGCTTGTGTGCATCCCCAGGTAGAGGCTGGTGAAGGAGACCATCGGTGTTCAACACCTCAATTGTCACCTTTGCAGCCAAAGTAAGCTCTTCTGCCACCACCACGGCCTCACTGGGTCAGTCTCCTCTAGAAAGCCGAGCTAGACGGCTCTCGAGCTCACTTTGGGAAATGGAGCTACACCACCACCAAAGCTCCCGAGGTCCCTTGGCGAATGCCATCATGTACCACCTACTCGAGACAAATCTATGAAAGGAACCTCGATTTTCTCGAAGGAAAATCTACACAACATAATGTGATAGTCCCGAGAAGATCATGGCATCACATTGATAATATCCATCTTGTACCACACTTCATACATCATGAATACCTGTTTAATGATTACTACATCACCACTTTGGCAGGATTACACACAAAAAAAACATCAGGGTGGAGCATAGCGCGATAGCCTGCCACTATAAAGTATTAGAGATGTGTCTTAATAAGAAATTAGAAATATTTACGGTAGTCAAACAGAATGGCCCGCAATCGCCCTGTCTGTCATACAAGGATGAGCATGAGCAAGCCTAGCATACATTTCTCTGCGGTTTAGGTTATCATAGAGAGCAATTAAGTTTCGGAGCATATATTAGGTACTCAAATGCAACTCTTTGCCATTGTGTATGATTACCTTGAGTTTAGGAGTGGATCAAATAAGGTGCTTAGCCGCCATGGATAGGATGAAAATAAATTGGCTGCACTCTCTTCTTCTTTGCTCCTAGACCTGAGCATTTTGCGGACTGGGCCGAGTTTGTGCCGGACCGAAAAAAAGCCTGATTAATTTGGGTCGAAAAAGTCCTGCCCATGACCGTTCCACTGGGCAGGTCGAGCCTAATTTCCTGGGCCGGCCCGGGCTTAGGTGGGCCGCTCGCGCATTTTATAGTGTAAAATAGCAAAAAACAGTATTTTGGGCTGGGTTCGGGCCAAAAAAACTTTCTAGGCAGCGGGATATGTGCCCAGGCTCTGTTCAGTAAGACTCGTAGACGGGCTAACACCCATCGGGCTTGGGCTGGGCCCGCGGGCCAGGCTCAATTTGCTCAGATCTATTTGCTCCTATATTTAAACCCATTCGCGTCATAAAACGAAGCTGCCCAATGAGATGACATCAACAAACATAAACCTTGCAGAGGTTAATCATTGAGTACCAACCATGATCCATCCAAGTAACCGTACACTGACTAAAGAAGGAAGAAGCTCATCATGCACACACTCTTTGCACAACTGAAGGAGCTGCATGAATTAGGTAGCGCTGTGGGCTGTGGCGAATTAAGTGCCCTTTGCTCACGCCAAGAAAGTTCGATTAACACATCGGTAAACTGGGACTATCTGTCAGAAATGGTACACAAATAATGATTGCCAAGAGACCCAGAGAATTGGTAAATTAAAGCCTAGTACTACTTTTGTGTAGTATAGTGTGTAGACTAGTTATGTAACACCAAAAATAAATTGTTTAGCATTGAGTCATTCGCTGCTGAGTGCTGACTGCTTGCTGGTTGTGTGTGTGCGACTACGCCAAGATCACAACTGCCGGTCACCGAGGTGGGAATGGCTAATATCATTCCACGGTGAGATTCTATCTAATTTAAAATTTCATTGCTAATATCATTGAGTCATTCCACGGGCAGCGAGAATCAGGGATTCGTCTAACATCAAAGGCGATCGAGATTGTTGTAAAAAAAAAGACGACCGAGATTGCAACAATTCAATCAATATATATCATGTGAGCATTTGTGTAATCACAGGTGAGGACTGACGATTTAATCCGTGCAAATGTAATTTATTTAATTGTTTAGCATTGTGTTTTTTATTTGGAAACTGTTTAGCATTGTGTTTTGTAGGTATAAAGAGAAGCATAGACATTACGTATCTTTTTTGATTCGCAAAAAAAAAAGACATTGCGTATCTTTTGAGAAGCATACAGCTTCCGTTTATGGCTGCGTTCGGCTGACCCAAAACCCGGTTTGATCCGTTTCTTTTTTTAGCCGGAACAGTGATGTTCTCTTACAAAATATCAGCCGCTACAGTGCTTTTCAGCCGCTACAGTAAAAGTTTTGGGTCAGCGGAACGCAGCCTATACCTATATTTTTAATTTGTTTCTTTGTCTACTACTGTGCGGTGGTATAGATTGATATAAGTGCGGCAGCCGCTAGCCTCCTCTCCTCCCCCCACCATCTCTGCACATCCGCAGCTCGCGCGGTCGGCCACCTGAGCACGCCAGGCCAGTCCAACCTCTCCAAGGAACCAAGAACCATCCATCCCGCGACCGACCGGCCATGCCAAGAGTCGTCGTCGGCGGTGGCGCGGCCTACAAGGGCGACATCAAGGGCTACTGGAAGCGCCGCGGCTACGACCGGCTCGACGCGGCCGCGGCGCAGCGCCACCCGCGCCTCCCGACCGCGGAGCTCGGTGGCGGCGAGGCGCAGCCAAAGCCGCAGCGTCGCGGGTGGCGCGTTCGCCGCCGGCGCGCGGGCGTCCTCGGCCGGCGCCTCCTGCGCGCGCTCTCGCCGCTGCGGCTGCTGGCGCGGCTCCGCGACGCCTACGTGAACGCCATGCTCCGCCTCGCGTCCTCCGCCGCCGTGGCCGGCTACGGCGCCGCCGGCCCGTACTGCACCTCGGCCGACCCGTTCGCAAGGCCGCGGCCGCTCACCAGGGAGTACGACGAGAAGGCGCTCGTCGAGATCTACAGATCCATCCTCGCGCGCGGCGGCGAGGCCGGGCCGCCGGTGCTCGCCGCCGCGCGGCTGCCCGCGGCGGTCTGAACTGATGACGACGGGACTGGCCGCCGGGTGATGCTGGTCGGTACGCGCGCGCGAGCTTGCTGCCACGCTCTGCTTACTCATCTTGCCTCATGCAAGACTCGTGTACGCTAGAATTTCGCTTTCATATATGTTGCACAGAGAACTTGCATGTCAAATGAAAGTTTCATGTCATTATTCCAGTACCAAATACTTTGAACCTGTGAATCTGAATTGTTCCCAAGAATTTGGAACGAACTTGTGTAGTAAATGCGGAATTCACATGAACCTGTAGAATCGTACCATTTAATCGAATTCTACGGAATTACAGTATTATTATAAAACGGGCAAAATTAGTACCGAGATTTCGTTTCGCTGAAATTTGATTTACGATGATACTTATGCTGATTTATTATGGAAAAAAAATATTGTTTGTTCGCTGAAAAATACTACAAAAGTAGTTTAGACAAACAGAGCCACAGGGTTATATTCAACCAACACTGGTATTTTCAGTGCACCACATCCACATGAGTACCTACAACGCAAGCTTCTTGCTAATGCTTTAGTACCACATGGTCACAGCGTCTAAAGAATGGGACTCGTTAGCAGCCCTTGATCCTATTTATTTATTTATTTATTTATTTATTTATTTATTTATTGTTTAGCTGATGAATGGCTCTGTACGTCTCACTTCCTGTGATTGCTGTGCCGTTCGGCTGAACAAGAAGCCAGTTTGTTCGGCTACTTTTTTTTAAGTTAAAATAATATTTTTCTTTTCTACAGTATTTTTTAGTATAAACAATGCATTTTCGTACCAGCCGAACAGAAACCCCTATTCTGAAGTGATTGTACCAGTAGCTGCAGGTCAACTGAACTCCAGCTTCCCACGTAAGGCGTGATCCCTTCCTTGGTAGTTGGTACTAATAGTATATATATCAAAATGGTGATACGGCAGCTTCGCTGGTTATGGCCTAATCTGCAGCGTACTTTTTTGCGAAAGAACTATATTTTCTTCTCACAACAAATCAGCATAAATCAAAATTTAGCGAAACCAACTGGGCCTATCTGCTCTTCCTCTACGACTAGTAGACAACTTGGGTAGCAGAACTGCAGAAGATTGAGAGACTGAAGGCTGCAATGCATATTCCAAATTTTGTACTACCAGATTGAGAGACAGAAGCCTGCGCTACTCTACTAGGTAGTACAGTACGTATGTAGAATCAGTTGAACTCAAAAGCCCCCAGCGACCGTGAATCTGCGATCTTTGGTGGCCACCTGCCACGTCCACGTCTTTCGGTCTTTGGCAGTTGGCACCTCCTCCCCACCGCATCGGACAATATGCAGATGCGGCAGCTGTTGGGCACCCAAATATTGGCATATTTGCCTTGCCCGGCGCCTGCCATCATCACGCACGCACGCACCGACGCACGGCACGGTCATAGGGCCTTGTAGGACTAGGACACGGGCCGACCGGACGAACAACATCAGCTACCACCGTTACAAAATCCGCAGGCGGCGCGTCATTAGTGCGCGGTGGAGCGCGCGCCCGGTCACCATCGCCGCCGTGGGTGCCACGTCCGGGCGGACGTAGGCACGCAGGATGGCGACGGGACACAGCACGCATGCAGCCACACGCAGCCGAGAGAGAAGGCGGGCTTGCATTGGCCACGCCGCGTCACGGCCTCACGGGTCTTGCGGCGGAGAAGTCGGGGTGCCGGGCGCGGTGCGCCTGCGACTGCGATCGATTGGCTTGGCATTGTGTGGGCAGAGAGGCAGGACGAGAGCTGAGGAATATACTCCGTACGCGGGTGGCGAGGGAGTGTCGCTTTCTCGAGGTTCCCCGTCCCGTCGGCTTCGGGGTCACGCCTGGTCGTCAGGACCATGCCCGTTGCCCGTTGCCGCTCTGATGTTTGGTGGCGCACGACGGCCTGACCATGCCCGTTGCCGCTTTGATGTTTGGTTGCACACGACGGCCTGACATATGGACAGGATCGAGACATCGACTGGTCACTGGTGTATACCTGATCGGTGCAGCACCAGTAGTAGCTGTTAATAATTCCTCAATTAATGGATTGATAGTCACGTATCATATATGCACTGTGATGACATCCAAAAGCGTTCCACGGTGGGCTATAGACATCTCCAGCAAGTAGTATACATATCGTATACATGTTGGTGGTCAAACGGTATATATATAACAATATAATAGCAAGCGAAACATGGTGAAAACTGCGAGCCATGAAGAGACAGAGCCAGTCGTCTTAGCCGTCTTCAGCAGTTGGCTTAGCCACTATGCCCAGTCGGCGGCTAAGTTGACTCCCCCTGATTTAGCTGGCCGAGGGGCTTCCCAGGCCCGCAAAAGTCGGCTTAGCTGACTTTCCAATTGACTAAGCCGACTCGTCCTGGATTCCGAGTGAAGTTAGTTTCCAAATCGATTTTTGGCATGTTTTTTATGTAGGAAACTTGAAGAACGTGTTTTAGTGTTGTTTCCTAGTGTAATATGAGAGGATCACGTCCGATTGGAATCTCATCTATCCAATCAATCAAAAACACATCTATTACATCCTTTACCCCATTTCCAACCCCTTCTACTATTCGGCACATCTCTCGGAGAGATTTGTTGGCGTTTTAGGCGGCCTTACAGGTCCTAAGACACCCTCCACACGCTTCTCCCCGATGGGTCTTCCCGGGAGAAGTTCCGAAGTCTTTTCAGCCAAGATCGGGCTCAACATCAGCCTAACCGGTCTCCAGATCGGTTTTGTCGATCATGCTCACGTTCTTGCCGCGTGTAGGTAAAAGCCCTAGTTTGGTTTTGGATAATTGATGAAACCTAACACTAACCTTTGTCATGAGTTGATATGAGCTAGGTTGGTGCAATCTAAGTGTGGAGCATTGTGATGAAGTCCTTGAAGATGAAGATGGGCATGTGTTGATGATGATCAAGCTCAACTTGGAAAAGAAGAAAGAGAAAAACAAAAACTGAAAAAGATCAAGGTAAAGGTACATGATAAGTTTTTGTTTTGCACTCAAGACACCATAGAGGGTGTGAGTGACTTAGAATCGATAGCCATACTATAAAGAAGGGAAATCTTTGGCTAAACGGTTTATCGAGTGTCACTGGGTGACATGACTTTTTGCACATGCATTTAGGAATCTAGTGTGCTAACTTTGACCCTTGTAAAATGCTTTGAAAAATGCTAACACATGTGCACATAAGTTCTACACTTTGTGGTTAGCAAGTTGGAAGCAAGAGCGAAGTGGTTGTGGACTTAGAAAAAGAAAAGGAAGAAAAAGTCCACGACCGGACGCAGCAGTTAGAGAGGACCTGCGCGTCCGGTCATTTTTAGCAAGTGGCGCGAAGTGCTGGCCGAGGGCGCCAGGCAAGGACCGGATGCTAGCACCTGACACGCAGCCGCGTCCGGTCAGTGTTGAGCAGACGAGGCGCAGCTCGTACTAATGATCGGACGCAGGAGAGGTGTGACGATCGAACGCGCAGGCGAAAAGCAGTTCCGCTGACGTAGGCTGACGTCGCGTGCACGGAGAGAAAGCCAGTGTTGACCAGACTCTCGGGCGCGTCAGGTCGTCTCTGACCTGACGCGTCCGGTTATAGAAAAACGGCTCTGCATACTCTCTGGACGCGATCGGACGCGCGTAGCCATGGTTCCGGATGGTTGGACAGGCGAGTCCGGTCACACTTTAACTTCGCAAGTGAAACGTTTTGACTGTTGAGATCTAACGCGCGACGTTTGAAGCTCAGCCACGTGGCGGCCATCCATCGACCGGACGCTGGGGTGTGTCTGGTCAGCCGAGTCCGGTTAGCCCCGAGTAAAGCAACGGCTCTATTTCTTTGGGGCTCTATAAATAGTGTTTGGCCGGCTTTGGGCTCACTATCTTGGCAGTTTGACATACTTGACATCCTTGTGAGCCTAGGCAAACATCTCCCACTCATCTCCATCATTGATTCATCATCATAGTGCATTTGCTTGAGTGATTACATCTAGTGGCACTTGGGGATCGTTGTGGCTGCGGATTTCTTGTTACTCTTGGTGGTTGCCACCAACTAGACGGCTTGGAGCAGCGGAGGAGCTTCGGCACGTGTTTGTGATTGTTCGTGGCCGGCTCCGATGATTGTGAGGGGTCTTGTATCTGAAAGGATCTAGGATGTCGCCTAGAGGGGGATGAATAGGCGTTTCTGAAAATTAACACCTTTTAAATGCGGAAACGATTAGTAAAGGGAGTTTCCAAAATGGAAACTCCAAATAAAGAGTAATACCACCCCTCATAAGTTAGCCACCTACTATACAAGGTACAAAAGAATGTATCTAGAAGCTACAACCCTGCAGCACAAAGTTAGAACTGCGAATAAATATTTTTAGCACAGAGCTCTAATACCAGACGTGTCCGGTATGAATACCGGACGTGTCCGGTGTGCACGGTTTCTACAGAACAACCCCGAACTTGCTCCTTTCGATTTCTATCTTCAAACCAAACTGCAGGTACCTACTAGAGATATCAATATACACAGAGAACCTGCACAAGAGCTGGAGCAACATAAATATAATAATGAAATGCGAATTGAGACACGATATTTGTTTTACCGAAGTTCGGACTCGTTCGAGTCCTACTCTCCGTTGAGGGGGCTGCGGGCGACCCAACGTAGGTCAGCCCTAGAGGGTACCACGAAGGTCACTCTAGCCGGAGTCTTTTCCAACTCCTTTTCCTCCTTCCACTAATTGATTCTGAGACGGCGGAATCGACCGTTACAAACTTTCCGAGGCACACCACAATCTCTCGGGTGCTCTCGGCGACGCCTAGACGTCTAGGACCGAAGAGTCCAAGAGTAACAAATGCAAATCACGAGATTGACAATATGCACAAGTGCTCAAGTGGTTGGATTTGCTCTCTTTTTAAATTTCACTCAACCCACAATTTGATTTGGCAAATTTGATCAATCACTCACTAAGAGAGGGTTGGGAGAGTTTGCAAGGCTAAAAAACGTGTGTGTATGTCTGCAGAATCAGCAG